AAAAATCAAAATAAAATATTCAATCAAAATTTTGAATACTGAATGAATAATTTATCATTAATTATCATTAATTATAATTAATTTGGCATTCATCATTAAATGAATGAATGTGAACATGTATGCAATTAACTTCGTTGATTTGATTAATGTGCAAATGCTTTTCAGGTCTCCCAGTCCCTCCCTCCCCTCTGGGAGCAAAGCTCATAAAAGTTTTTATCCCCGTGGCAAACATTTCCTTAACTGCGGTCCCAATTTTCGTATTTCTCCTGTTATTATTTGCCCCTTGCACGCCACCCTTTCTCCTCTCAATGTTCCCAAACTGCAAAGCTGATGTTTCCTTAAAACATCTCGGATTTAGTTTACTCGAATCATGGATGTACTGGCATATGTTCCTTTCAAGTGGGACATGGGTCATCTACGTGCTGTTTGCAGGGATCGCGTGTATTCTGGCATACTTCCGAATTCTGGATGGGTACAATCCACACCGGTGTCAATATATGACTTAACCGCCTTGGTTAAAATGTTTATTCCGAGTTATGATGATTTTGATACCGGTATTATAATGTTATGACCGGAAAAATTTCATTACAACTCGGATTCACAATTGTAACCTAGGTGGTTGTCATATATTGACACCTGCGGTGTTGGTTTGACAAATTTTTGTTTTGAGTGCACAACCTACTTGATTTTTGTAATGCTTCAATTGTTTTAATAAATTTTTTTTAATTTGTTTTCAGACAAATTGCTATGATAGAAAAAAGTTCGGACATGGCCGCTTGCATGCGGCTCTACAATTGCATCCAAATCTTGGAGAAATCATTCACGAATTCCTGATGACTTGCATTGTACCCGCAATGTTATTTTGTGCACCTGGGGTACAACTAATTGCGCAGTATGTTTGCATCAATCATCACGCCGAGATCGCCATGCCTGGATTTCTACTGTTCCCACTCATCGGCGGGGATGCCGGGATCACCAACGTGCTCGTGTTTACGCTAGCGTCTTACATTAATATTGCGTCAGAGAGGGCACTACAAGGTATGAAGGATAAAATTAGGTTGTTGGAAAGCAAGAGGTTCATGATAAAACAACTGCGGGCCTGTTCCGTGTTGAAGGTGAAATTTGGCTCCAACTTTATAGATCGAGGGACACCATTAGTAATTCAGAATTTTTGCATCAGTCAGACTGTCACCCTGAGTTTAATTAAATCTGGTCAAGTAAAGCGATAAGCTATGATTTTTTGGGGTAAGCCTGATTCGTTAATATATTTACATACATACATAATATGTATTATATATTTATATATATATGTGTATTTATAAGTTCCGTTGTAGGGAAATTTCAAAATGCAATATCACCAAAACTTCGCACATACATTCATGATATCTCCATCAACATTTAAATAATTCTGTCTCTGCCATAACAGTAATAATAATAAAAATAATTTATTATGAAAATTCCTACAAGATGCAGCCCATAAAATTACAAGTTACAATTAGAATTACTAACTTCACTAACACAACCACTGCAAACATTTAACAGATATATGTATGTGTAATAAATTGTCTATGATATAAGTCTATATTATGTAACCTAATTATTTGCCCACCATTTGCTTCCTATATGGATATTCTTGTGGAAAAAAACCCACAACAATGCGTAACACAAATGTTGTATAGATATATAGAAAAATAGTTAATCACTTATTTACATTTCACTGCACATATCTCGACAATTTGCTAATCACCTTTTCAAAGTTCGCTTCCAAATAGTCCAGGCAAAAAATATATTTCAGATAATGTTTATGTTTCACAATTTCTACAAGCATTACCAGAGTGCTAATTGTCGCGCCAATTCCATAAACATAAAAACCCGTTGTAACTTTAGAACTGAAATCCAACTGTGAAATAGCCTCGCCTATTGGACCCGTCCAATTAGCATAATACCCCAATAACTTTCGAGGTTTCCACATATAATAAACAGATTTCCAGTGACTCATAATTCCTGACGATGTGAATGTTTTCAGACGTTCCTCGACATACGAACTTCTAGTTGGCGGTATTGCCCAACCTCTATATTTTGATCTTCTGTCAGTAAAATAGGAGTCTCCGTCTCCCTTAACATATCTCACCTGGTGTTGCTGGTCGTTCAAAAAATTTGTAATTGCTTCGATGTTTTCTTTCGTATCCATCAACGCCACTTTGTCACAAGTCTTCAAGTTTTTCACGACCCCGTAGCTATCTAGCTCATTATATTCTATTGGTTGAATGGGGTAGTCCCGTAAGGCGCTTTTGTCATATGGGGGATCATTTACATCACCCTGCCTGGAGAATGTCCCGTTTATCCAAAAATGTGGCGCTAGCCGTTTAATTAAATCTATTGCCGTTTTCCTGTCGTTGTAGTTGTTCTCGGTATGGGAATCCCGCATACGTTGACAATGGCGAAGGATACCCAGGTAGAAATATTTAAAGCGAAAATAATCATGAGGTTTCCTATCTAAAGCGCTACCTAATACGAAGCTAAAAGGCAGTAGGATGCGAATCCCTTCTACGTCCATTAGAACTGTCCAAGGCGATTTATAAACCATAGGAACAATCATTTCCATCGTGAACAAAGTTTTGTACCAATTCGTCGTAATTGTTCCTACCAAGATGCTCCACACTATAACAACAGTATAAATTCCCAATATCCCATACCCCTTTAACCTAAATCTAGTCTCCAAAAAGGACAACGAAACCGCGTTCTCAAAGGAAGTCCCCCAAACAAAAAGCAACGCGTCGGAAATGTATCCACCATGAACAGCTATGATAATAAGGACCACGGCAAAAAAAGCCACACACATGCTTATCCAAATTGTCCGATCGAACGGACTACTTAACGAGTCCAACATTCCGGAATTCTGTCCCACTCCGTGACACGATACAAAGCTGTACTTTTCAACGTCAAACATAACGAATCCAAATCCTCTACTACGGAACCTTTGCAACTGGAGCATATGGTTCAAATAATGATATGGCGTCTTCACAGAAAAACCATGGGTGAATACGTCTTGCAAGATTAGGATGGCGAGGAATTGATTGAACGAGGTGACCTCTGCTATATGCTGGTAGGCGTGTCGAGAATATAGTGAACTGTGGACACTAATTTTATCAACTAGGTCGAAAAGTATTGCTTTGCTTAAGTAACGAGTGCCTTCCATTGTCCAGAAGTATTTGCCCTGCCTTGATATATTTACTCCCAGTTGTACCACCTGATTGAAACAATCTGGTGGTTTGCAACTCATGTTGTACAATGCTTCTCGATTATGCATTCGTGAAATACCCGGGTTCCTTTTGTGGTAAATGTTGTAGTATTGAAATCGTAATAATGAAATATTTTCTATTGTTACATCAACTAGGATTAGTTCAGTAAGCCCGATGTTATTAAAGTCGTATAGTGGTAGAAATGGCCACTCATTTATAAATCTTGTTATCAAGATAAAGTAATGCGAACGCCAAGTATTGTCAATGAATGCTGGAAGGTTCATAAAGGAGAAATCCTTAACTCTCTGGGACGAACCAGCCGTTTCTGGTAAAATGGTAATCGTCGCCCAACAGTGTTGTGAAGGATTACGTCTTCGCGCAATAGAAAGTTGTTTCTGGAGCATCTCGCCTGTGACCAAACTTATCGTGGTATCGAAAAGGAGTAAAATTATTGGCCCCTTAGTCGACGAATCTGTTCCCCAACAAAATTTGTCTTGGACGAATACCATTGTTGTACAATTTTCAAAGAGGGAAATATAGTCCGATATTTTTACACGAGTGATGTCTCGTGTAGTCAGGCAGTTTGGCTCAATAGAAGTGTTACGTTGGGATAGCGTTTTCAGGAATTGTGCTAAAAGTAGAAAAAGAAGAGAAAAACTAAATTCTGCCATCCTGTTGAGGTAGCAAAGTATATAATATTGTGATATTCGTGTAAACCCGCTTTAAATATAATTCGTACCTATGTACGTCAACCTTAAGAAACAGTTCCTGCTCGTCTCTTACTAACTTTGGCACACATCCGTTGTCATGGATGTATTGCGTGGTTTGTAAGATCAATTACAGCCACGTGGCTGTGCCATTACATACTAACAAAGTTCGTGTGTATCAATCTATTGTAAGCACAAACACCCTTTTTCTTCCCTCAGCTCAACTTTAAAGTTCAGCACTTAGTTATTACCGAAGTTAACAAACTTAAAAGCATTGGGCCAAAGTAACGGAACCAACGAATGAGCCATATGTTATACGTATTTCCTTTGTGTTTATTGGTAAACCCATTACGTCCGTGTGTAAGTAAACGACAATCGAAAATAGTGAAATAAAACGTCAAAAATTGTCATGAGTAATCACCGACATCCTGCAGGACAATTTGCACATACATAAAATATATGTGTATATATTGGCAAGATTTATAGAGATTTCTGCACTACCTTCATTATTATCGCATATCGACAAACCGAAAAATGTGAAAGGTGGAAACTAAAATTGAAAGCAAGGAGCATTCATGGTGGGTGACCCACCAATAGAGTCAGGTAGTGGTGAATGACCCAGCACCTTCATGTATTCGCTTGCAATAGAATTGGGAAAACTGCCCGTTTGGCGACGATAATTTCTGCATAACTTGTCCAAAAGTGAATTTACAACGAAAGTTAAGTCAAATCATAGGGCTAGTATTAAAATGTGTATTAAATGTACATAAAGAAAAGGCTGGATGGGTGTCACAACTACATAGTACACCTGGGAAGCTTATGAAGCTATTGATCTAAACCTACGCTTTACCATCCATAACAGTTCTGTTATGATTATGGTTATAATTTCGGTATATAATTTCGGTTACGATTACATTGATCAGCAATGTTAAAAAAATTCTATAGCAACGTTAAAACAATTCGCTAGCAACGTTAAAAAAATTCCATCCGAATGTTAGAAAATTCCCTATCCACGTTGTTTTTTTTAACTTTTTCATCTTTTTATTTAGCTATCCATTTAACAATTCAACTTCCACATTTTCATGAAACGATTTTACGGAATTCTCTCGGAATTGGGTCCCATAAAATCCGCACCCCTCATTAATTCTTCTTTGTAGAAGAACACAACCCAAATTGAGTATAGATTCAGGACTTCCATTATAACGTCAAATTCCCCCAGTCCAAACTGTCGTCCCACAGTGAAGGTAGTAACCATCGTTACGAGCAAACCGTTAGTAATTGCGGACCAAATGGAAATCTTCCAGCAGCGGGTGACCAATTTGTAATTACTCTATGGAAACAAAAATATCTAATTAAATTACACTTATTTGTATACCTAAAACACAAAAATTATCTTTAATCAAACTGGCATCAGGGTTCGGAAAACCCCGGGTTTTATTCTAAATTAAATTATTATAAATTAATAAATTCGCCAATCATGACCAATGTATTTATTTTGCAACAATTTTCATTAAAATTTCCAACAAAATTATTTTGCAATAATTTTCAGCAAAATTTCCATGATTTGGGTGGATGCTTTTACATCTTCGTTGGAAAGAAAAATTAAGCCCGTTGCATATTTCATGATTGGCGATATTATTAATTTTGGTTGGATAAAACTGCATTTTCGTTGGGCCGTTAAATTTGCACCCAAACTTCTTACTCACATTCTTAGCTCCTTTATACAGAAATCCATACAGCACCAACTTTCCAGAAAACCAGGCGTGGATGAAGGCAAAGAAAAAAAGGGCTGCAAGTAAACCGTAAAAAGTCCAATGATTCCATATCCTAGGTCAAAAATTAAGCTACTTACGTTTCCAGTCGTCCTTGTCATAAAAACATACGGACCTCATTATGATTTCTCCACATCCGACGAACATGAAGATAACGGAAATGAGCTGGAATTTCAATAAATCATAGGTTTAATAAATTGTGAGTTCAATTTGGAAAAAGATTTGCCAAACTCTGTTGTCACCATTTGTAAAATGACGACCAATTTTGCCCCAAGCTTGATTGAACATCCGCCACAGCATGGATTGATTTCACGAACAAACTTTCCCACTTTCCTGCCATAGTTTTGCGGAGTAGTAGGCGACGTTTCGAGATAGGACGGCATGTCGAAGCTAAATATTTTTTAGGGTAATTTATGTACAAATGCAGAACCAATCAGTTTTACGACAGGAACAAGCACTTTTCCGCCTTGGACTGGAAGAAATGCGATCAGAGAGTTGGAGGAATAAGGGTTACTGAACTTTGGATAAGGTTGTCTTTCTAAATATAGATAGCTGTCCATACATGTGTGACTCCATTGGCTTAAATGTTTAGGGGCCGTCCATAAATTACGTAACGCAAAAAGCGTGATTTTCTGGACCCCCATTAACACGTGTAGCATAGGTACGATATCATTGGAGCATAAGGCCCCCACTCTTGCATTACGTAATTTATGGACGGTCCCTTATCTTAAAATTGACCCTTCTGAGAAACAAAGGTTGAGAAATTCCAACATAACAGACCCAAGAATCCCGTTGAAATTGTGTAGTCCTTCCTTCAAGTGTATGGATATAAATATAAACCGTTACAACGCATGTAACCAAGGGGTGAAAGGAGTGTCATACGTCAATGTGAATATCAAATTGTTCGAAAATTTGTTAAGATTGACACTTCTGACGTGTTTTCGACTTTTGTGTCTTATTTGTGTCAAATTTAACAGTTGATAACCCTTATGTGACCTTTATATGACCTCTGAGGTCAAAATGGAGGTCACCATTGAATTCGGGGTTAAATTTCAGTTGAAATTGAAATAGATATGCCCTATGACCTTTACATGACCTCTGGGGTCAACATGGAGGTCACCATTGAATTTGACATTGAAAAATAGTTAAAAATGATGTGTCATATGTCAAAACTGACAAGTGACACTTTTTCGTCACTTTTCGTCACCGTGACGATGTCATCGTCACAGGTGACGTCCAACCGCAAAATGACATGAATTTTCGAATTTCTCATTGAAAAATAGTTAAAAATTATGTGTCACATGTCAAAACTGACACGTGACACTTTTTCGTCACTTTTCGTCACTGTGACGACGTCATCGTCACAGGTGACGATGTCACAGTGTCCATCTTCGAACTCGTCCTGTCCATTGACGTTAGGAGTTTACGTTCAAAATTTCAAGTGTCTATGTCTTTTCGTTCAAAAGTTATCGGAGCTACGGACAGACAGACGGACGGACGGACGGACGGACGGACGGACGGACAGACAGACGGACATAACGATCTTATAAAGGGCTTTCACCCCTTAAAAACTGACTTGAAATAATTTTCACAATGTTATGTACTTCAATATTCCACAGCCCTTACTAAACTTCTTGGTATAAGTATTTGTGTCAGGGAGGGTGAATGTTGATGACTTAAAATGCGATGACGCCAGCGGTCTCGCTTCGATTTTGACGAAACCATGATAATTATGTAGCCCTAGATAAATAATTAAACACCTGTTTCGGGATTTTTCATAATGTTCCGTTTAAACGAAGTTATGATGGAAACCGTGAGCGAGAATTTTCATTTTCACCGTTTCTCGCTAATGCTCAAGTATCATTTTCTATGTGGTGATAAGTTTGTCAAAAATTGAGCAAATTCTTACACAATGTTGCTATGCCATAAAGATTTACTGTTCATTTAGCAATTAAATTATTTTGATAATTTAGAAACTACAGAATTTATCTCGTACTCTCCATCCGCACACAATTGAACTTTTACAGGAATTGACAATTCTGAGGAGGGGAGCTTGCGAGGTTGATAATAACAGATCCTGATGCCCTTTGGATATGTGGTAGGGTCCTATGAGTGTACTAAAACCCTGAAGTGGTTTGACTCCATGGCCACATTTGCGCCCGCCACACCCACTCAAAAATGCCCAAAAAACGCTTTCACACCAGTTTTCACTCACTCAAATCCACGCCAAAAATCCAATTTTACTCAGATTTTGCAATTTCTTTCACCAATATACTCCCCGATAGTTGCTTTCTTCAATCCAATATCAAACTCAATATTTTCGAAATTTTTAGTATTTTTAAAATTTAAAATTCTGAATGAGCATTGTTGTAGTAATCAACAACGCAAATTATCCCTGCGAAATAATCATCAGCAAAATTGAGTTTGATATTGGATTGAAGAAAGCAACTATCTGGGAGTGTAATGGTGAAAGAAATTTCAAAATCCGAGTAAATTGGATTTTTGGCGAGGTTTTGAGTGAGTGAAAACTGGAGTGAAAGCGTTTTTTGGGTATTTTTGAGTGGGTGTGGCGGGCGCAAATGTGGCCATGGAGTTAAACCACTTCAGGGTTTTAGTACACTCATGGGACCCTACCACATATCCAAAGGGCATCAGGATCTGTTATTATCAACCTCGCAAGCTCCCCTCCTGAGCAACTACAGCACTGTCAGTCTGAAATTCGCTCAAATTATGATGATGGGCAACTTAGAGACTGTAGTTTCTCGGAATTATTAATTTCTGTAAAAGCGCTACTATGTGGGACGGGAGAGTAACTTTGATTCGTGTAACAGTTACACAGTTGGAATTGTAGGAGGCTCCAGATTATTTTGTCGTCCACAGGAATCTCGGCATTTCTTTTCACCGTTGAATTTAGGTTCATCTATCAAGATTATTCCTTTTCCCACGAAAACCCCACTCATCGACCCTTCCATCGGAATGGAGACACTTTTCTCATTTACGATCCACGCGTCTGCCCAGTCATTCCTTTCGATGAGATACGCTCGAATGAAGGGCCCATCCAAGGCGATTCCACTCCCTGTCCTTCCTGTCATTATCATCGTCGAGTTGAAGCCCGTCTCCGGAAATGCGACCAATTCAGAGAAAGTTGATATATTAAGGGACGAGTGGGCTGGAATTTGGATGGGTCGGCTTTCTGAAAATTGTTCAGGAATATATGTACATATCAAGATTTTATCTATGACTAGCGAATAAGCCCGTCACCCGGCGGGCGAACGAGAGTTATTAGTTGGAAATGTCTATCGCCAACGGTAATGGAAGTAAAGAAAGTCAAGTTTTTAATGGCGCGAAAATTAAATTTCTGAAGGAAATCTTAGGATGGTTGTCGGGTGGGGATTATCTGGGTGTGGTTATCTCTACCTCCGTTGCGGGATATTTACTTTTCTTCCGTCCCGGACATACATTTCCGGCATAATTTAGTAAACCCCAATTGTCAAAAATTTCACCTTTCAGCCTCTCCAATTCCTGCGTGATGCCTTCCAGTTCATAAAGTTGGAGCGAATTACCTACCTCAATTGGTACAGTAACTGTTTCGTTCTCACCTCCGAAATTGGACGAAAGTACGTTCTCAATAACAATTTTAACCAGATTAGGCTGATAGCGGAGTTTGTCAAATTTGTAGGAAACGTTCACCACCCGTTCAAAACTTTGCTGAATGACGTGATTAAATTCCACGGAGGTGGGATTGGTCAAAGTATGGTTCACTTCATCCAAATAGGTTACGTTACTCGGGGTAACAAATGAAAAATCTTGAATGTTTCCCATCAAAAAAATTTCTTCTTGTTCAAACTCAAACAGTGAATCGAAATACCATTTTTCACCGATGCCATAATTTTCTCGGTTATCTGGGTTGCTATCGACTTGAATATAGTGGGAAAAGTCGCCGTACTTCTTTTCCGTCCAGGTGATCGTGCCGTTCGGATAGTTTTTATTGATCAGCTGATAATATTGGGTATCGTAGATCATATCGAGCGTATCGTATCGTATCATCAGAATTTGAAATCCGGACAGGTTTCCATAAAGCTTGATCCCTCTCTACCCCGCCGGCGCGTAAGCCTTCTAGGCGTTCCAATGTATCCGCCATGATGTGTCTCCCACTCCCAACTTTGTTGAAACTAGAGGCCGTTATTGCGTTGTATTTATCGGACAGAACCTGAGAAATTGAACAAGTAAATTTTCAAAAGTACAAACATACAAGCAGGTAACTCAACATTTAAAAAATGTTAAATTAAATTAAAATGATAATTTAAATTTGTGAAAAGTGCTACAAATTCATGTAGTTCCTAAATAAACCGTTACAACAAATGTAACGAAGGGGTGAAATCAGTGTGTTATCTGTCAAACTGAACACAATATTGTGTTTGCTAGTTTAAAATCTGTTACACTTGTCATGTCTGACGTGTTTTCTACAGTTGGTGACCTTTCGGTTACCTTTGAGGTCAAAATGGAGGTCACCATTGAATTCGGGGTTAATTAAACTTCAGTTCAAAATCATATATATATGCAATTTGACCATTAAATGATATTTCATGGCCTCTTCACCTTGAAATGTGTGACCTACAGCGTACATCTTCGAAATCGTCCTTGACGTTAAGTGTTAACGTTCAAAATTTTAAGTCCTTATGTCTTTTTGTTGAAAAGTTATCGACGGACGGACAGACGGACAGACGTAACGATCTTATAAAGGGCTTTCATCCTTCAATAATTGTTAAGACTTACTCGATTATCCCACTGGTACCAGTCGGGGTCCTCTGTCGGCCGAAACATCCACTGAGCATCTTTCTCCCACTTTGCTGTTTGCTCATAATGCGGCAAATTCTTTGGGTTTAAGTCAATTTGTATGAAATGCGCGTCATCCTTGTCCGTTGCTTCGGTGTAGATTACGAATCCTTCCGGAAATTTTGGCATTTTAACTTTGTAGTAAATTCCAGTGAATAAATCAGTCCCAGCAATTCGGAAGATTGGAACCGAACTATTTCTCAAGTCGGTTTTATTCATTTGTTTCTCTTGCAGCTTTAAAACGGGTGGATCTGTGGACATTTGTCTAGTATACAAAAAAAAACAGAATTAGAGCGATAGCAATTTACGTTTTTAGATACGAAAAATGTGGAAATTTTCTTATCTTACATGCCAACATAAGGAAATACGAGTTCCACACTTATTGTCAGATTGGGGTTAACTTTAGTGTTAAAATCATGCGTGAATTTTTCCATGGCGCCAGGAACTGCTAAAAATTCGACGGGTTGGCCAACCTCACTAATTCCACTCCATAAAATTACCTTAACATAGAAAATGAAGATAAGAATTTATTTTGGAAGTCGGTCAGTTTGGCGAAAACAGTTTTGGCGAAAAAAAATTGCCATGAAAAAATCCCACTTGGCGAAAAATAAATTTCATACATTTAACGGTACTTCAACCTTGTT